GTTCTGGTACTATGAAAAGTTTCCTGCGGTGCGAAAGGCCCTATACAGACAGAAAAACAGACAGACAGATAGGTAGACAAAGAATGACAGACAGATTCTTAAGAGGTTGTTGCTGAAAACTCAATCCTTTTCTTTTTCTTTGTAGCAAGAGGAGGCTGGAATGGCACTGTGTGGAGAACAAAACCCGGAATCAGCAACTGGCATATTTTTCTTATTTTATTAGCAGGATTTGCTCACCTCAGGACAGCTAAGGCCAGAGTGTGTGAAAAATGACGGAGCCAAAAATGTTGGGCCGGTGGAAGAGAGAGAGAGACAGTGTGAGGTCTCTGCAGGTCAACAACATCAGACTGACATTGGAGGAATCTTAAAGGGATAGTTCACTCCAAAAGTGAAAATTCTGTCATTGTTTACTTACCATCATGTCATTCCAAAATGAGAAAACTGTTTAGTTGCCAGCACTCTTCAGAAAAAATATAATTTTGTGTTCCAAAGAAGAAAAAAGTCATTTATGTTAGGAACAACATGAGGGTGAGTAAATGATTTTTCATTTTTGCGTAAACTATCCCTTGAATGCAAGGGAATAGTTGCCGCCTACATAGAGAATTTTACATACAGAGTTCTGGCATGGAACTCTATATGGCATAGTCCGATAGGTCTAACTCAATCTGACCTAATGACATCATTATCACATGGCACAGCTGATTGGTTCTCTCCTGTATCGGTAGCCAATGAGCTCGCTGCTCAACATTCGAATATATGACTAGTGCTTGCCGTAACAGTTGCAGTGAACTTCAGCGTCCGTCCGTCCATCTATCGCTGTTCTCCATACTTGCGAAATAAGTTGACATGCTTACAGTATGTTTACACGGCGTTTTAAATCATGGCAGGTGAGGGCGTTTTCATATGCATTTGGCCAATCAGTGTCTACTTACATCACGATTAGTACCAGTTGTGCTGGTTAGACCCTGCTCCGGAGTAGGAGCTAATTTGGTTCTTGAAAAAGGCAGTCCGGTACTAAAATCGCACCTAGTTCCGGCGGTGTGAACATGCCGAAAAGTGGGTAGTTCCACAGTTAGTTCTGGTACTATGAAAAGTTTCCTGCGGTGCGAAAGGCCCTATACAGACAGAAAAACAGACAGACAGATAGGTAGACAAAGAATGACAGACAGATTCTTAAGAGGTTGTTGCTGAAAACTCAATCCTTTTATTTTTCTTTGTAGCAAGAGGAGGCTGGAATGGCACTGTGTGGAGAACAAAACCCGGAATCAGCAACTGGCATATTTTTCTTATTTTATTAGCAGGACTTGCTCGCCTCAGGACAGCTAAGGCCAGAGTGTGTGAAAAATGACGGAGCCAAAAATGTTGGGCCGGAGGAAGAGAGAGAGAGACTGTGTGTGAGGTCTCTGCAGGTCAACAACATCAGACTGACATTGGAGGAATCTTAAAGGGATAGTTCACTCCAAAAGTGAAAATTCTGTCATTGTTTACTTACCATCATATCATTCCAAAATGAGAAAACTGTTTAGTTGCCAGCACTCTTCAGAAAAAATATTATTTTGTGTTCCAAAGAAGAAAAAAGTCATTTATGTTAGGAACAACATGAGGGTGAGTAAATGATTTTTCATTTTTGCGTAAACTATCCCTTGAATGCAATTGGGCGGTTTTGAATTTGATTGTGCGGGTAAAAATTGGCTTGGGCGGGTGGACAAAATTTGGGCTGGTTTGGGGTCAGTTTGGCGGTTTTCAGTCATATAAATTGCATAGGCTAATTGTTTAACAAACAAGCCCAAGTATGCATACTGCATCCAATCAGTCATCATAACGTAAGCCTACTACACACACACACTGCAGAGGTGCTGGTGCTGATGTAAACGTCGACAGCCGCACTTATCACGAGGGCTCAGCAGACAGACGTTATGATTCATGAGTGACAAGTTTTGTGTGAAATAGGGGGAGAGCGGGGCACAAAGTAACACTTTTTGACTTTCTCAAATTGTGTAAATCCACATGGGTTCAGAATACAATTTTATAATCCACAGTAATTTCACACTTGTCAAATATTTCGCTTTGTTTCATAATTACAGTGTATAGGCTTTTCTTTATTTACCCTCAAAAATTGGAAGTGAAATGTGACAACATACCCCGTAGGTGGGGTACATTGTAACATCTGAGGGGCACGTTGTAACATGACCATATAACAGCTTAAAATGTTATCTGATCGAATGAAAAAAATATACAAGACAAACTAAAATATTTTGTCAATAAAATAAATTAATTATTTCAAATAAAATAATGGCGTTTTTTAAGAATTAAAAATCATCTGATTTTGGAGTTTGACAATGAACACATTGCAACCATGCTTGGGACAGCCCACATAAATGAGCCAAAATGTTTTACATGTCTTGAAATAATAATTTCTTAAAATTAAACTTTGACTGTCAGTCTTTATTCACCTGTTTCTCGTCGTTTATAATAAAATGTATTAAACTAAATAGTGTGAATTACATCGCTAATGTCATAGAATAGCACAGCAGGGCACATTGTAACGCAGTGTTACAACATGCCCCATCTGCGCAACTGGAATTTAAAACTGGTTACTGTCTTCTGATAGTTATCGAAGTATTAAAAAATAATTTAAACTGATAAATAACAGATTGGAGATAAAAATAATAGCAGATTTGTCTCAATTTAAATGAGTAATAAAAACTGAGATGAAAAATTGACTTAAGCCAGAAATATAATTTTACTATGGTAAAATAAATGTTCAGTGATATCTTCAAAATACTTGGCGTACTTTTTCTCTATATAATGTTGATATAGTAACTAGTAAATGCTGTAAATTTGGTTATGCTTGCATGTGTGGAAATATTTAAACCACGTGTGTTACAACTAACCCCGCGTTACTTTGTGCCCCGTGCTCCCCCTACCTGCAACGTTGCTTTTTCCAATCACTTATATTGGGCACTTTTTGCATTTAAATTGGATTATTCTGACTGCTGACGTTGAAAATTATGCATTTCTTGATTGCCGTTTTGACAGTGTCAGCTTGAATATTTTATTCATGTTCGGTAGCCTAATTCCCTTTAATGTAGGCTATTTGCCCCGATTCGATCCGTTTACCTGGGAAATTTATCTAACGTTTGCCTATATAAATTATTTTGTCAACATTATTTTGTTTTAAGGAGTTAAAAATGGCCCATATCAACCTTGATTTACATATTCCATCACATTATTTAGACAGTTAAAGTTTTGGGCGGGTTTTTGTGAGCTTTTGGGCTGGAAATCGTCCATCTAATCTGGCAACACTGGTTGCAGCTTGCTTCAGAAACCCTCCACCTTCCCAAGCTCCACCTGTATAGATCTGCTACGAGGTGAACGTTCAGTGATATCTTCAAAAGACTTTTGAATTTTGGCGCACTTTTTCTCTTTATAATGTTGATATAGTAACTAGTAAATGCTGTAAACCCTCCACCTTCCCAAGCTCCACCTGTATAGATCTGCTACGAGGTGAATCATGTACATATATGGGGGTTATTTCATGTATGTTATATTTGCAGCAGCAATACTTCTTACATGCTCACAGCAGCATGTTGTGGATGTATTGGCAGTAGCAAGTCTCAGTACTTGCTCTGCTGCGGCAGCAGCATAGCAGATCTATTCCGCTAAAGCCCAAATACATTAACATTGTAATGTACATTACCATGCCAATCCCTCCGAGAGTTGTCATGACAGAACTGAGCTTCCTATGTTGCCATAGCAGAACATTCACTAAAAAGATCCAGTTCAAAATAATAATTTGTTTGTGAACTGGACATCACTCCGGACCGTTAGCCTGAGGCTCAGGATTACAGGTAATGATGTTGTAAATAATATTCAGTTTCTAGACCGATCATTGTGCTTCATAAGACCTCAATGTATCATCAGGAGCCACGGGTATTAATTTTGTCTTACCTGTATGTCCTTTTTTATACTGTTAAATTTCGGTAGCTACTGACTTGCATTTTATGAATCACCAAGGACCACAGTATTATAATCTTGGGTGGTCTGAGGGTAAATAAATTAACAAATGTAAATTTTTTGGAGAACTATCCATTTAACAGAGCTCATATTGCATTCTACACTGCATTCATATAGGCTGGAATAGTGAAAGCACTCTACAAATGAGTCCGTATGCAAGAGGTCACCCACAACCTACAAACACCTGGACTTCCTTGTAGAACAAACCCTGAGGTAAAATAAATAGCAGCAAACAGCTTTAAACTCAGTTTAAGAGCTCTGTTCCACCTCACGAGTAAAAATAGCGCATGCAAATCAATAAAGTTCAAAGTACATTTTAGCAGATGGAAAATAAAAATGTTCATTTATTGTACTGAGCTCAGAGTGTGGTTTTTAATACGGCTGCTGTGAGCTGTAACAGAGAGAGAAAGAAAAATAGAAAGCCCTGCAATTGATTAAAACTAAATGAGAAATGCAAATAACTGCAAGCTATAAAGCAGCACAAGACAATAACTTGAAACAATAACCAACAATAAATTATATACAACCTAAAAACGATTTATAGTGTCCTGGGCCACCAACAAGCCTGTGGTCTCAAGTGTATTAAAGAGAAAATCTTTGGCGACATGCTAGCAGCTAATAGCTGCACTTTAGTTTGTGGACATGTGTCTTGTAAATAAGCCTATGAACATATCATGACAGATGTTACGACTGCTATATTCTTTAATCAGGGACAGATAGACTAAATGGTCGGGCAATAAAGAAAATGGTGTGAGTTCCAAATAAAAAGAGATATTGAGCGGGACACATGCTACAACGATTTCCTCCGATAACTGCATATGAGACAGATACCGAATGAGACAGAGGAGTGAGGGTTTAGGGGGGAATATATAAAACTCTAGTCAGACTTTAGACATCCTTTTCGAATGGAAAACATTGTCATGTCATTTATTGATTAGTCTTCTGAGCTTTGGGGATGCAGGATTTCTCAGATTATCAATTTGTTCTTTAAAGAAAAGCTAAAGTTTTAATGTCTATAACAAACATCTATATATGCATGCATTTTTACGTCTCTGTAAATTTTTAACAAATGATTTCTAGATTTGGCATTTCAATTAAATTGGAACCATATACAGTACTGTTCAAATATTTGGGGTTGGACGTTTTTAAAATAAGGGGTGCACTAATTTGATCAAAAATACAGTAAAACAGTAATATTGGGAAATATTACAGTTATTACAGAAACTTTTCTTATTATTATCATCAATGTTGAAAATAGTGGTTCTTAATATTGTGATTTTATTTTTTACTTTGATGAATAAAAACATTCAAAAGAACAGAATTTATTTGAAATACAGACAGAAAGATACAAAATCTTTGTAACATTATAAATATACTTACTGTTACTTTAATTAATTTAATGCAGCCTTGCTAAATAAAATCATTCATTTATTTTAACGTCTGTCATTCTCCAATTTCTCCCGTTTTAGATTTCGGTGGAACTATTTGCTATCAAAACAAAAATAGTCCATATAACTATATAATATATAACAATACATTGTTACTTGTAACTGAAAATGTTTGTTTTTGTGCAATGCTACTATATCGACATCAATAGGTGTCATATAGGATGATTGTGATATTGTCTAGTGCAACAAAAAACTAAAAATTAAAGTGCATTATTTAAACTATTTTCCTCATAAATACTTGAAATCACCTAAAGAATGTTTTACTGTCCTTGTGGTGACATTTTGTAGGCAAAACCTGACCCATTAACTCCCTCCCTCTAAGGTCAATTGTTTTCTGAAGTGTTTGATGAATCTTTTGAACTCTGGATTATTACAGCCTGACTGCACTGACAGATGTGTAATTTCTCAAAATGTGAGAAATGAGTATACAAACCCACACACACACACACCCACAGGTTTGTTTTTATGGTTTATGGGGACTCTCCATAGGCGTAATGGTTTTTATACTGTACAAACCGTATTTTCTATTGCCCTACACCACCCCTACCCCTAAACCTACCCCTCACAGGAGACTTTCTGCATTTTTAGATTTTCATAAAAACTCTTTTAAAATAAAACGCCTTTTGAATTACGGGGACACTGAAAATGTCCTCATAAATAACCTTCTCGTTGTAATACCTATGTCATACCTATGTTATTATACAAATTTGTGTCCTCATAAACCACATAAACATGCACACACACACACACACACACACACACACACACACACACACACACAGCTCCTGGTAAAAGACTGCAAGCCTTAAATTGCTGTTTTGTAATTATCACAGTGGGGTTGACAAAAGAACAGTGCAGAAAGGGAGTATATACGTGTGTGTTTTTCCATATAGAAAACAGCGGCAGTGAGTTTTCAGTGAGCGTGAAGCTTCAGTATCATTGAACTTAATGGGACGAGAGAAAACCTCCTTGCAAAATCAATGCTGTTTAATGCAAGCACTTAGCACCGACAAAGCTTAAATTGCTGTTTTGTAATTATCACAGTGGGGTTGACAAAAGAACAGTGCAGAAAGGGAGTGTATACGTGTGTGTTTTTCCATATAGAAAACAGCGGCAGTGAGTTTTCAGTGAGTGTGAAGCTTCAGTATCATTGAACTTAATGGGACGAGAGAAAACCTTGCAAAATCAATGCTGTTTAATGCAAGCACTTAGTACCGACAAAACTCAGCGGCTGAACATGAAGACGCCTTCGAACCGAGCGAGTTCTCACCTGAAAGAAGACAGCCATGGCCGCAATTACTCGCTTCTCCCGTATGGCTGTGTTAAGACTGTCAAAGTCGTCTGAGTTATACATGAAGATCTGCATCTGTGTGAAAGAGAGAGAGAGAAATGTGAGAATCCTGTTAGTTGGAGACCTTTAGCCAATCAGATTGTAATTCTTACATTATCACAGACAAAACACACATAGTCCATTATCAAATCTAATATCTCATAATCTCATGGCCTCTAATCTGCCTCATCCTGTAATCTCCCGAGAGCGCTCGGATTCCTCGTGTTTCCGTTTCAAACGTCAGGCCCTGTCCATCCTCTTATCACTCTGATGGGATCTTTGGCAGTAGATCAGGCTAATAAATGTGCTCAAATCTCCACGGACTGCAACGCCTGTCTAAATTGGCAGCAGCCGCCTGTTATTCTCCATTGTCAATACCTTTTCCCACAAAAATGCTTCAGAAAAAGACAACAAAGATGAACGGTATTCTCGTTGGCAGATAGTGATCAGTATTGTGTCAGTAAAAGGAGTATATTTAGCAATGGAGAAAAAGGACAGAATCCTGTTGAGTTCCTGAGCGAGTTAGAAAAGGAGGAAACAATAACAGCTAAATACAAAGACAAAGACGGACCATAAATTCTTACATTTTAAAAGAACTTCCCCTTAAACCGCTCCATCATTCTGTTGTCATAGTGATGATGGTTAGGGATGAGTAATGCTGCCAGTGTAAAAATGCAATTCATACATAAAATGACTATTTAGAGCTCTTCTATAATGATAGTGTTTTTCATTTCTGTTTTCAAAAGTATTGTCATACAGTGAAGTCAAAAACATGAGGGTGATACATCTGTACTGATATAACAATGAAGAAGAAGAAGAAAATAAAATAATAATAGTAACAACAACAACAATAACCATAATAATAATAATTATTATTATTCATTTTTTATTGTTAAGAAAACAAATGAAACACACATGAGAGTACATTTCTAAAAGCTTGCCTCATGTGTTTTAAACTTGTTTTTAAAATATTTCTCCTTTATTATGGCATTGACCCCATGTCAGAATGGAGTCATGTGGTTAGGCGAGGGGTTAAAAAAGGGGCCTGATTACATCAGATGAAAAGAAACTTGTTTTAGAGACAGGGAAAGTATTTACATTATGATGAAAGATTACAAAGACTTTTCTTTGGAATAACATACACATTATTTTTTCACAATAGCATCAGAAAACGCAGAGGCATTACATACCGAAAGACGTTTTTTTTATTTCCTGAAATTATTCAACATTTCAGGAGAAAACATCGATAATGAATTTTACATCTCCACAGAAGATCAGTAGCATTATATATAGCCCTCAGTCCAATGCTCTTAAAATCAAGAAAGAAAGCCTTGTTGCCTACCACATCAGCTTGCTTCTCCTCACTTCTCTGTTAGCATTGTCAATATTATGCCTGCTGCATTTTCTCGCCTCTGTAATCCTGACACGAGGCCCGCTTTGATCTAATTCAGTCTCAAACATCTCCATAGTTAAAGATCGCACGCCGGAGAATTCACGAGCCTACGGGCCTGAGCTTAACGCCTCCATCCGTGGCGCTGTGTCTTACAGCCAGTGATTAATGACATAAATATCTGGGCAACTTCTGAAAACATGCTCTCAAATGAAAGTAAACAGCAGAGAGAGAGAGAGAGAGAGATTAACATAACAGGGTCGTGAGTATCTTAACCTCTCACTATTGGAAGCTGTCTGCAGTCTGTTTGTATTCAAGCGGGAGGAGAGGTGACAGACTGTGACACGTCCTCCATACAAGACAGAGAACGATTAACATTATGCTGAGAATCACACGAAAGACACGCCAGTCTTTACAGGGAAATAAGCAAGTGTCGAAATCAATGATGTTGATATATGAACATTTTATATAGGTTTTTTTTCAGTCTTTGTTTTATTGATTGTTGAAAGCAGCCGGAATACTGACATAATATATAAGATAAAGTACATTTTTACTAAGGAATTAGTAAAAATGTACTTTACTGACTGAATTTTGAAGTGTATTTGACTGTTCATACCCACAGGCATCTGAAAGCAGCTGTGTAGAAGACATACCATAGAGCAATGGTTCCCAACCCCGCGGCCCGTCACAAACTCAAATGCGGCCCACCATGCTCAACACAATTAAAAAAATCACTTTCAATTTTACAATTCATTTTAGTTTTTACATTAATTTAAAAATGTACTAAACAAATATAAGCTATAATGTTTTTGTTATGTAAAATAATTTTGTTTTTCATATATTATTTTCAGACATGAGCAGACCTGCACTCACGTAATTAACGTTACGCATTTAACGAACACTTACAAGCGTGCACTTTGGCAGAATTCAATTCAAATAGCCATCAGCAGCCATTAGTTCGGTAAAATTGAGCATCAGAATGGACACATTTGTTATTAAGGGAGAACAACGAAATGTGGAAAATGCCAGCGAAGTAATTACAAACAAGAGTAGTCGCAGCAGTGAAGGTAGGAGAGTGCTGGACTTTCGGCATCAACTTTCGGTTTGCCCCGCCACTCACTTGAAGATGTTCAGGCTAGAGCCCTGCACGGGCCTCAAATATAGGTCCTAGCCCGGCCGTGTCCGGCAGCTCATCAGAATCCCCCACCCCCCCTCTCCCAAAACAGCTCATACTACTGTTTCAGCTATATTAAAATAGTTCAGTTTTGTATGTAATGGCAAAGTGATTATATTGTGTTTCGTTTTTTTATTAAGTTAATTTAGATAAACGTTTGGAGCGTTTTTCGGTCATTAAATATACGTTTTTGTTTTTTAAAGTAACGACCAAGCGGCCAGCGGCAGACAGTGAGCTGATCATAGCCTATGTTTGGTCAATTTAGCCTTCTCAAATCATCACGACTTGCCTAAAATATAATCTATAGATATAAAACAGTTCAAGCATATAACAATGTTTTAACGTTAAACCTAGATGAATGTGCGCTATATCCAATAGTTTGTGCGGAGAGTGGAAGCTAAAGCGCACTTTGCAGGACATGAAGGCGCCAGCGCGATCACTTGCATTTTTTTCAGTGGATACGCTGTCATTTTTACTCATAAAGGTAAGAGTAATACATCATTCCTAACTGTAAAGGGTCTACTTTTATATGTGTGCACTCACAATATCAACAAAATGTTGTGCTTTTATAAAATAAAGAAAACAAACACGATGAGCTTTCTGCCTTCTCGTCTTGAACGAAACTCGGCGAATACATGCCTCACAGACATGATAAATATATCTATTACTACTTAACGAAAGAAAACAAATCAAAAACAAAAACTCTTTCATTATAATCATAATCCGTAAAGATGCGCTTCTCTCTAAAGGCGCGTCTAATGAGGAGATGGCGAGTCAGGATCGGCAACTTCATCCATGCGACACCGACTCAGAAAACACTAGTTTATTAGTAAATAATTTAAATATCTCCTTACTATTTCCCCCTGACACATTCATTGTAATTACTTTTGCCGGTGCTTTGCGGCAAGCTTAAGGCTATTGCGTGCATTTGAACGCAGATCTCTTCAGCTGCGCTGACGGCACGCACCATGCATGCTGCTGCTGGACACTAAACACCGTCGAGCTGCTCTTGACAGTCGTGATAGTACAGTCTCGTGTTGTTTCCACCAGTGCGGCAAAAAAAATGTTTTCATCACTAATTGATGGATGTCTAAAATATAAAAAATAAGGAGAAGCCAAAAAACAAGCCCGAGGCATCTTAACTATGACGTGAAAATGGAGACGAAGACCGGCCCTAGGGGCGTAAAAACAGTCGGGGCCCGTTGGGCTCGGGCTGAAATGCAGGGCTCTAGTTCAGGCAAAAGGAAACACCCATACTATGCAGCAATCATCCTTAATTGGAGAAATGTGGCAAAACATCTCTGGAGAGAACCTCAGATTATTAAATTCGAAAGTGCTTTCCATATTTGGATAAACATAGGCTACATTTGTGAACGCACATTTTCTGCAATGTTGCGCATCAAGTCACGCTTCCGTGCGCGTCTTACAGACTGCAACTTACAATCGCAACTTCATTGTGCTGTTACTCCTTTCGAGGCGAATTTCACAAAATTGGTCAGTTCCCGACAGCATCAGGTGTTTTATTAATGGTGAGTATAATTATTTATTTATTTCAATGAATGTAATCTATTAGATATCATAATATTTAGTCTATAACAGGCTATTATAAATCTGGTTGGTTTGTATTGGTGACATAATATGTAAATGATATGCGTGCGGACCGTGAGACTTGCACTTGGACCATAGTGCGGCCCAGTGGAAAAAAATGTTGCGAACCACTGCCATAGAGAGTCGTAGCAGGCAAGGCAGGCAATTGCTTGGGGCCCCGCATTTTGAGGGGGCCCCCGACAGCTGACCATTTGAACAATCGGAAATGTCATTATTAATATAACATGGAGCAATATATCTGCATCCCCCCCTAGGGGGCCCCCTCTTGTGTTATGCTCGATGTGCTTGCTTTTTCCTCGTGATGAGCCGTTTTCAAACTGGCACAGCGCTTACTCGTGCATTTGCTAATTTAAACATGAAGAGGACTTATCCGTCTGGCAGCCAGAAGTGGGAAAAAAAGCAAGAGGAGGAAACGAGGAAACATGACAGCGATACATGACGGAGATAAAATTGACTTAAGGATAATTATATGACAAACAAATGTTTTCGTTGTTAATTCCAGCTTATTTTCGTTGAATTATTTGCAAGACGATTTACTGGTAATATTAGTAACAGTTACTAATAGGGTTACTGGGAAACAGGTTAGCTAGGGTTGCACTTAGCAGCAGCATATTATGGTAGTGTTTAGCAGGTATTAAATAGGCTGCAATAGAATAGGTGGTACCGGGAAAGATGTGCACATCACCTGCGTCCAGGGTGTCCGCGGGTCCTTAAAAAGTCTTAAATAACGTTTTCCCAATAAAAGGCCTTAAAAAGTCTTAAAATATCTTATGTATATTACTGTATATGAGTACAGTAATTGGTTTCACCGATACACACACACTACCAGTCAAAAGTTTTTGAACAGTAAGAGTTTTAATGTTT